TTCTAGGGATTTTTCCTTAGGAAATAATCATGAATGTACACAAAGATTTGCACACATGAGGACTTGCACATTAGCTGGTCCTTCCTCTAACCTCGCAGGGGCTGGGGTGGGGATAGCCAGGGTCATCTCTCTCTCCCTCCTAAACACAGATTTCTGACTCCTTCCCTTGCTTTCTTCTGAGACAGGGGCCAGTGGTCAGGATCTTCCCACTCAGAGAACCCCCAGATCCGCCCCCATGGGCTTTCACCTCATTTTGCTGCCAGTGATGTGCAGGGTTCCCCGGAAAGCTGTGCTGAGTGCATGAAAGGCTCAGCCTCCTAGATATCATATTTCCAAGGAGGATTCATTCCCTCCTACATTGGTTTTGAACTTCTATTACAACACTGAGATTGTTCTACTCTGAATCACAGTCACTATTTTAGTGTCTCTTGCTCACTTCCCTAGGTGTGAGCAGGACAGGAACCACAACTTCTTCATTCCTGTGCCCCTCTATAATCTCAACAATACTCTTGATGAGAGTAACCACTACAGCAAACCTTTCCCATATGCTCTACTCCAGGCACTGCTGTGAGCACTCTGCAAGCTACTTAAATCTCTAAATAACTATAAGGCCGAGTGTATTATAGTCCCATTCTGCAGATGATAAAAGTAAGATAAAGAGGTTAAATAAGCAGGGATTCCATAAGCAGTTATATTTCATCTTTACCATCTGCAGCTATCCCAACATCAAAGTGTGGTTTGTGTTAAATGTAATCAAATTGCTTATTTTTAAAGACTGAATATCCTTAGCAATGAGCAAACTGAAGCCACCAGAGATTTGGTGGCTTACACAATGTGACACAGGAAAACAATTAATTCAACCAATATTACAGAGTAATCACTAATATTTATTATAGTCCCAGCTTTCTAATCCACAGGTCTCTCCACTTTGCCACTCAGGCCTGTGTAAATGACAAAGGACTAGTTCTCCTCGGAATCCCTCCAGTGCCAGTTATGCCGCTCTTGTTGCTTTTCTATAAACACACCCTTGTATTTGCTTCTTTGTGGTGCCCCTGGGGCTAAGACTGCTCAAATCATACCTCTGCTCCCTGTTAGGCTCTACCAATAGGGGGCGCTAGAAATAAAGCCTGTGATGGTGGAGGAGGGCAGAGGGAGGTGCTCCTTCCTATTGGCTTCCTGTTCATGCCAGTCTTTATTTGCTCCTTATTTGCAGCTGCATCCAGTTAGCTGTTTTGCCAGCACACGGGACTTGAGCCAACACACCAGCTCAGAAAGGCCAGCACCCAACAGTGGCCCCGCGGCAGAGGTTTGGTCCCAGTCTCACCAGCCGTCCTCTGAACTTGGCCCCCCAGCGTCAGCTGAGCAGCGCCCCACCTCAGGGGTCCAAGGCCCCTCATCAAAGTCTCTACGTTTTAATAATCCCAACCTCTTCCATGTGCACCTCCTGTCCTGGGAGTAGTAGCTGCCTCCCAAAGGTAGAACTTCATTGTTCATTTTGTCTTCCTAGTTCTTCAGTACTTACTACCTTTTTATTAATATATTAAAATCTCTCAGTTAAAATGACCTGTTTGATGTAGTTACCGAAGAAGGCACAGGGCCCCTCCCTGCTCTGTCCAGCTCAGGTGTGGCTAATAAGGAAAGGCAGTGGAACCAGAGCCTTCAGCATGACACCCACCGAGAGGGATTGCTGGGGCCACCAGTTCTCCTTGGTCTCTGTTCCCTGCAAGTTAGGGCCCCTGGGTTTGCCCACAAGCTTTTGGAAGAGGCCATCTTGGCTAATGAGCAAATCCATGCAGGAGTGGTGGGTTACTGATGGATAGAGCGGTTTCAGGTCTCTCCATGCTGGAGTTTATCCTCAAGCATTTAAAGGATATCCTATGAGCTTGAAAACAAAAAATGCAATGTATGAAACTATATTCATGTTTGCTGCAGGAGCTGGACAGATCACAGCCCAAGCAATGGCCCCAGCGGAGGCTACGAAAGGCCCGCCATGTCCTGCCTGCCTGAATCTGTGTGCCTGCCTGAATCTGTGTGCCCGCCTTCGTCACAAAACTGTTGTTTCCTTGGGCGTTGGCTTCACTTGGGGAGATGAGACCTAGAAGGGAGCCAGACAAATAGAGTTCAAACCAGGCACTCAGTGAGCACCTGGGCCAGAGCCACTTGGCTTCCATGGAAGAAGATGAACCTGAAAGAGAGCCAGGAGGGAGGGAGGTGGAAAGGGAGGAAAGGAAAGAGAGAGGAAGAGAGAGAGAGAGAGAGAGAGAGAGAGAGAGAGAGAGAGAGAGAGAGAGAGAGAGAGAGAGAGAGAGAGAGAGAGAAGAGAGAGAGAGAAGAGAGGAAGAGAAGAGAGAGAGACAGGAAGAGAGAGAGGAGCGCACATAAGAGTGAGAGGGTGAGATTCGCACAGGAAGCTCTGACGTTTGCAGGGACTTCCAGGCTCATGTTCTGAATTTGCTCTTTCATATGAAAACAGTTAGCTCCCACAGCCCAGATTAAGTTTTGGCGTCAGAAGCCAAGCTGGAGGCCTGACTTGGCTCCCCTTCGCTCTTTCTACACTTCAGAGGTTTGCCAGGTCTCTGGGATCTGATAAGCTGGATCAGCAGAAATCCAAGGAGACAGGAGGTGAGGCCCAGCCTTTGTCCCTTGCAGGCCATCCTCCTCTGATCCCAGCCTCTCCCAGGGAACCACTCACTGAACTCCTTCCAAGGACAGGGGCGTAGCAGTCTTTCAGGGCTGGGAGGAACTGAAGAGATTATAGGATGAAAAGCACAGGGCCTGGGAGAGCCGTTTGTTTACCTTATTCAGCAAGCGATTCTTGAGCGGGTAATCAGCACGTTTGAGTGAGAGAGAAGGAAGGAGGGAAGAGAGAGGAGGAGAAGAAGAGAGGAGGAGTAGAACCCATATCTCTTCTTTCAGGCAAGAGAAAAATGACTTCCAAAAAGAGTAAATGGCCTGCCCCAGCTTGCAGGGAGCAGAGACCAAGGAGAACTGGTGGCCACTGGCCCCAGCATTCCCTCATGGTAGGTGTTGTGCAGAAGGCTCTGGTTCCACTGCCTTTCCTTATTAGCCACACTTGAGCTAGACAGAGCAGGGAGGGGGTGCCTTCTTCGGTAACTACATCAAACAGGTTATTTTAACCGAGAGATTTTAATATAAAAAGGTAGTAAGTACTGAAGAACTCGGAAGACAAAACGAACAATGAAGTTCTACCTTTGGGAGGCAGCTACTACCCCCAGGGCAGGAGGTGCAAATGGAAGAGGTTGGAATTATTAAAACAGAGATTTGGGCTGAAGCCGGTTTGGCTCAGTGGTAGAGCATCGGTCTGCGGACTGAAAGGTCCCAGGTTCGATTCCGGTCAAGGGCATGTACCTTGGTTGCGGGCATATCCCCAGTAGGGGGTATGCAAGAGGCAGCTGGTCGATGTTTCTAGCTCTCTATCTCTCCCTTTCTCTCTGTTAAAAACCAATAAAATATATTTTTTTAAAAAACAACATAGAGATTTGGTACCAGATAAAAGACCAGAACTTGGGCCTCCTGACTTTTAGAATGGATGCCTTTCCATTACATCACTAGGTCACAGTATGACCGAACTGAAGTCAGATCATCCCTACAGGTGTCACTTGTTCCTCAGGAAAAGAGAATAAAGGATGTTTTGGGGGTGGAGTGGGGCATGCGCTACTTAATAACTTCAAAGGATGTTGCTTGGCTGGACCCACCATCGACCATTGGCTTGGCCCTGAACCCAAAGGGTCTTCCTATGGATAGGCTGTATCTGCCCAGCCCATCAGCACTGCTGTGCGTGATTCCCTGCCAGGCTCAGCTCATGCCGAGCCCATGGGAACACCAGTGCACACCCAGCCGAGTGATTTCAACTGAAGCGGGTGTGTGCTGTGATTGGAGAGTAGCCTGCATATCTAGCCCAGGACCTTAGCTGATCAATGACTGAGTCTGATTCTTCTCAGTGAGAGGTAGACAGACACTGAGTATCATAAAGACACAACTAGATGATAAAACAATTGATCAATGGTATTTCTTAAAGGGCCACCACTATATGCCCATCATCATGCTTAGAGAAGGCCCTGTCTTACAGAGCTTACTGTCTGAGACAATAAGACATAAACATGTGTACAAATAGAAAACAGTCTAATTCGGTCCCATTGCATTTTTCTCCAGGCTGACAAGGGTCAAGAAAGGGTGTGAGAAGTGTTAATTTAGAGAAGTGTGGGGGACACACTGCTGTCTTCAAATGAAATGAAAAGGACAGCCCTGTCCCATGCTGTTCCAGAGAATAACGGATAGCAGGGGGCCAGTTGGAATGCTGTTTTAATCATCTGGGTTATCCAGAGTGGTGGGGCTGGTTTCTGAGGCAGAAATGTGAGGCCACAGATGCACAGGAGCCTGTCATAGCTGTGATGGATGCACAGAAAGTGGCCCAGTTTGGGAAGAGACATTGTATGGGATAACCTCGGAATCCCCTTCTTTCCAAGGATTCTTTTAGGAAAGGATTACACTGCCTGTCAAAGGTGGTCAGAGAGTAAAATAGTAAAACAATGATGTCCCTTCTTGCAGCCTCTATCCCTTCAATTGATTGAGGAGGAAGAGGGGTCTTAATACAGTTAATACAGTTAATACAGATGTGAGGGGTGTGGCCAGTGGAAACCTGTGAGGAAGAAGAGGCAAGGAACAGGCTTTTGCAGTGACAGGACTTTGTATAACTATACATGATAACGCAATAACAGCTATTATATTTTGAGTCCTTACAATAACATGCACTTCAGGCATGTTATTCTCCCAACAACCCTAGAAATAAGCAATCTATGGGTGAAAACTAAACTATACAGGGAGGCTATACAGCCAGTACGCACTGGAGACTGGTTTGGGGTCCCTATTCATGTGACTTCTCAACCAGCAGGTGGCACTATCCTTGACTTAACCACTCAGGTAACCCCAGATTAAGATGGAGTTGGATCTGGCCAGCACCTGTGGGAGAGGTCTCTTACCTTGACCACGTGGAGTTTGGGCAACAGATTGCAGTCGGCCAGGGTCAGCTCATCCCCATCCAGGAACTTGCGCCGGGACCCCCTGTCATCATCCCCACAAGTGTTGGCGTCGATCTCCTCTGGCAGAGGAGTGCTCAGGTAGTCATCCAGTTTCTTCAGTGCCTTATTCAGGCCTCTCTCAAGGGCTGGCATGGGACAGCAAAAGAAATGTCTTTAGTCATCCCTGCCACTGGTTACAGCCACAGTCTTCACAGTGAAATGGCTTACCCCGAATCCGGCTCCCCTCCTCACACTACCAGCTCCCCAAATACAAATACCTGGCAGCCATTAGCACGATGCAAAAGAGTATCAAGTGGCCTGAAAAAAAGAGACCTTGACCAAATCCTTTTTAAGGACAGATGGATGTTATATCGATGATAGATAGATAGATAGATAGATAGATGATAGAGATGCAATCATTGGCATACAGATCAGAGCTTAGTGCTTATCTTCAGAAGATGTAACAACAGCCAACTTTCATTTTCCTTTCTTGTGTATGTATATTTTCCCAATATCTCACAATTAACCTTTACATAAAGAAAGGCCTGTTAAATAACTAATAACTGTAATAGCAGCCCTAGGACAGAGATATGCACCAGATTTTGTGGGAGCATTGACCATAGCTAACCCAACCTGAGAAGGGAGGGAACAGGCTTCCTGGAGGACAAGACATAAGAAAGTGGGGGCCCCTGCTTGGCACTGTCCCCAGAGAACCAGTAGGAGTTAGGAAGTTGCTCTAAAAATCAGTGCCGTCCAAAAGGGAAGGGCCAGGGCCCAGGAGGCGGGCTCCACCGGGAACGTGCCAGCACAGTCAAATGGAAACCTGCCAAGAAGGCAGCTCTGAGGATGAACATTTATAGGAAGAGAAGGTGGCAGAAGACTTTGACAGTCTTGACCCAATAATTATCTCTCCACTTATTCATTTAGTCTCAAGAGCAGAACAAAATGCTCAATAGAATAACTCCAGGAACTCACTCTCACTGAGTTGTTTCACCCAGAATTGCACAGACCACTTCATCATGGAGCGTTGACATGGCAACTGCCCACCTGAGCCCGGAGCAGGGAGCTGGAGGTGGTGGCTGGCCGCGTCACTCAATGACCACTGCACCTGTTTCATCAGCTGCAGCCCCCACCAGCTGGATTTCCCACACTCTGATGCTGAGATCAGAGGATTCAGTCCTGATATTAACTCTAGCAAATAAATGGGAGGTACTGTCCCAGGAGGAAGATCCTGGGGACTGTCTCTTGTTCAGAGTTTCGCAAATGTGCCTCCTATTAGCCACTCCTCACATAACCCAAGTCGGTCTTTTCATAGAAGGCCTTTTGTTTGAGACAATGAGATGACACCAGCCCAAGATAAATGAATCAAATGCTTACTGGAATGTTTAAAAACAGACTGGAGGTTGGCCATAGTTTCTCAATACTTCCTTCTCCCTGGTGTGGCATTTGAACTTGAACTTCATCATCTGCTTTGTGTTTCCAGCTTGGGAGAACAGAGCAAGCAGAACTTGGGGAAATGCTTGTATTCCCCTTAGTAACTGTCTAGACTGGGATGAAATTGCAAGCCTATTCAAGGGCAATAGCTGAGGGTGGGTACCCAATAACACTTATTATGCTCCCTCCCCGCCCTCCAAGGACTTGTGATTTATGTTGGGTTTATTTGCATCCTTAAATCCTCTAACCTTTTCAGTTTGGAAGATTATGATAAAATCTTAATTAAATGAAGAAAAAAAAATCTAGTAGAGTGCCTGTTGAAATTTGACCAACTGATTATCATCCAAGGGGAAGAGACATATGAAGGGAAATGAGACAATGCAGGTTCTGATTCCAAATGCCCTGAGCAGGCCTCTGCTCAAATCTGTGTCCAAGTGACTGGGTCTGGGAACTGTCATGTCATTTGGTGAAAGAGGCCCAGCCCAGGATAGCAATGGGAGCTTCTTGGGTGGCTTGTTCTGGGTAGTTACAGAATAGTCATGGGAATGTAAAGTGTAACACAGGGACTATAGTCAACATTGTAATAACTAGGTATAGTGTCAGACAGATACTATTAGTTTTATCGGGGATGGATTACTTGGTATGTTATATAAATGTCTAATCAGTGGAATGTACACCTGAAGCTAATATAATATTGTAGTTAACTGTGTTTGAAAATTAAAAATTATTTTAAAAAGTTAAACTGTCTCTCCAGTGATCTCTAGAGATGGAAAGGTAAAATTTGGCAATGGGCGTAGTTGTTGCCTTATGTCACAGCTGAGTGGCCCATCCTGAGTGTGTCAGCTTCATCACTTCTCTCTGTGTGTTTGGATCAGGAATGTGAAGGTGCAGTTGGTGGGACTTATGGTAGAGAGAAGAGGAGCTGAGGCGGGAGGGACGGGGCCGTGTGTTCTGGAGCTAATCCTATACTTAAATTTTGACCCTGCCCAGGGTGGATCTACTGTGAGGCTGCTAAGGCTTACACTTCAAGGCCCCATGATTGTGTGGACCCTTTCCAAGACCCTGAAGTTGACTTTTAAAATTAGTTATTAGTATTTATTGTATTGGCTTCAGATCCTGCAAATCTTGAAAACATCCTCCATCTTGGCACTTAATAAATATGACCTGGGGTGAGTTTCTCAACTCCGAAGGGCTTCCGTTTTCCCATCTCAACTATGGGACTAAAAATCTCTAACCCGCATGCAGGCACTGTGAGATTTACTCTGATTATGCAGGGACAGTGCCTGGCCCATCGTAGGAATGAATGATAGCTACTGCCATTGCATCACCAAGTGTGACAGTCGCCCTGCTCTCAGGCCCTCACCCCACACGCTTGATCACTGTGTTCCTGAAAAATCCAAGGTGTGGCAGAGAGTGAGAGGTTCTGAGAAGCTCCAGGGTGAAGCTTGATCCCCCCGAGGAGGAAATTAACAGCCAGATGGACCTTCTGCTTCTGCCGATTTAATATACAACCACAGCCCTGACCCTGTGCCTCTGGGGACCTTTCTCAGGGACAAACCATGCTGAGGCACAGCCAGAGGGAATAGACCCGCAGCCCTGTGTGCTAACACCCTGCCTATTATCGAATAACAAGTGCCAGCGCCAACACACTGCCTGCCAGGTCTTTTCCGTCCTACCTGCCAACTCAGTGCTCTGACCCTGGCTCCGTCTGGCATCCGTGGAACTTAATTATCTCTTTCACCTAGAGCACCCAGGCCACGGAACTGATGGCGTTGCACTTCCTGCTCTGGTGAGAGTGAGGGGATGTAAAGGCAGCCAGAGTCACCAGAGGATGTTGATTCCCTCAGTGTTTGCATGTAAAGCCCTCTCTCCAAAAACTTCTTCTGAATAGCAGGACGGGTTACCCTCAGACCGCAGCAAACAAGCCTGAGGGCAGGGGACCCCGAGACTCAGAACCACGAACATCCCAGGCACTTGATGGATACCCAGGCCTTTAACTGCTTCTTCCTCTCTCCACCCCTTCCCATAAAGATTTATTCTGTACCACACACAAACGCACTGGGTAAAATATGGGATGAGGAAACAAGGGGGAATAGTTCATAAATATCCTCAGCCATATGCAAACAATCTCAAATTTATTTTGCTCTTTTTTGAGGAGGGAAAAAAGTATCCACCCATTCCATGATCGCTTCCAGATTCATTGAGGTTGATATTACATAAGACCCAATATTGTTTTCTCGTCATAGAGAAATAATGACTTGGGAATGGCAATTTGAGCTAAGAAAATAGTATACTCTTACCAGGGCATGGGGACCCAGGAGCCAAGACGCCAGTTCTGCCTCCTAAAGGCTCTTGCAAGCACAGCTCAGCCCTGGGTCACTAGCGAGCTCTGTGCACCCGGACACTCACTGGCACACAGCCATGCAGACCCCTTGCTTGAGCAGAGCAGATGCCAAAGGCACTCCTTGAAAGACAGGCCCAGCTCTGGGGGCCCAGGGTGCTGTGCTCAGTTTCCCTGGCTTGTGAACTTGGGAGAAATAAGAACCAAGGGTCCCCTCTGATGACATCTGCAGGCTGGATGGGGGTCTATTCAACTCTCCATAGAAGAGACCGCGGCTATGGGGGCTGGTCCCAGGCCCAGCACCTGCCGCCCCACTCGGTTCCTCTGCTCGCTCTAGTCCTGCTCCCAGCACCAGCAACAAATGCACTGACTGAACATCTGAGGTGGCCCACCGGGATGCTTACGCCAGCTAGCATTTAAATATGTAGTGAAGCTATTGAGATGCACCTTCGTATTCATCTCCTTGTCACAAAGAAACAGGTCTCCGACTTATCAAAGGCTCACATGTGCAAGCAAACTGTTCAAACCACTACTGGAGTACAGAGAAAAGGTACCTGCCTATTTTTAACTGTATGGTTTTCCAACAAGCTCCCCACTCCCTTGGTGGTGGGAAAACAATTTCAATGTAGTGTCTTCTGGATTATAACTCAGTCTGAGGTCATAATCGAATGGTCCCTGCAGAGAATTCCCAGTCGCTTTTGCATAGAAATGTTGTTTCTCAGACAGTCCCCTTGTCTGCTCTTCTCCCTGAGTCCTGGGGGTGGGTGGAGAGGAGTCTCCTGTGACCTCATGGCACCCTGGAGCTAAGAGTCCCGGGATCCATGGGGTAGAAGGTCTGGGGAAGGTGACACAAGTTCTGCGTTTCTTCCCAGTTATGCTGAACCTACTTCCTTCCGGAGTAACCACAGGAAGCTGCCCCTAGAGTGTGATCAGAGGTGGGCTGCTGGCCCCCCTCCAAAACCCTGGAAGGACACCGAGCGAAGTGCCCCATGGGGCTTTATGGACATGTCTCTAGACCCACGGCACCCTTGCCTGCCTCCTCTCCATCCCCAAGCCCCCTGGCAAGAAGGGGTGGCCTTTCCTGTCCGTGCTCCTATGTCCACCACAGAGCAGCAAGCCTCCCTGTGAGCTGAGCCCTCCAGGCCTGGCTCTTAATGTGCTAAAATTAAGAACTAAAGAAAGTTTAAGACAATGGCTTGGCTTGCAAAGCTACTGTCTTGTTTCAAATGCTATTTTAAATATCAGAAGCTAAATATTGAATTTCTTTTTCTTTCTTGGAATTTCTCTAAAGAAACCCTCATTTCTCATGGGACCGATGGATGCCTAGGGCATATTAGAATCAGGAACTCAGAGAGGCAAAGAGAAAATATT